GATATGGCCGGTACTTTCAACTTTCCAGATCCACCATGATAGCGCTGGGGAAGGGCTTGTAGGTTAGTAGCCCACAGTGCTGCTGAATTCTGCCTTTTGAGGGACAGAAACACCATGGATCTGATGATGGGAACACTAGGGTAATACTGTAGTTGACCTTTCTGGATTTCTAGGCCTTTTGCAGATCTCTGCATTCCTCTTTTTTTCCAAACACAGCCTGGGCCAGGGGAGAGGAAGCACCAGGGATTTATGGTGTGACTGTATTCCTTTTGTAGCATTTATCACAATTGTAATTAAACAGTATTTGTGCAATTATTTGCTTATTGTCTCCCCCACTATAATGTAAACTCCACAGCAAAATCTATGTCTGCTGAGCTGTATTCACCAGCTCTTAGTATAGTGTCTGGCATACACTAGGCATTTAGTGAATATTGTATGAATGAATAGATAATTAATGAATTAGTGTTAATAGTTATTTGCCCACCTATAAATAAATGGGAATTTTATGGTCTGAATTAATTTTATGGTAAATTACAGCTTCATCCAAGTTTATCTTCCAATACTAAATGTAGTATTAATCACTTAGTAGACTATACGAGATACATTATATTCAGTGGTGTGCTGATAAATGTTAACAACAGGTTCTCTGTAAGAAAAAGCCCTGATTTGTGGCATTTTCCAACTTTCATATTCTAAAAACATTCACCGTGGCTACTTTCAAGTAATACAGGTTACTTCATTGAATGCAGAATGAGAAGAAATGTGCACAGCCAGTTCTTAGGACTCAGTGAAAGCTGGGTCCAGAACAACACTGACGCACATTTATATGCCAGTTTTAGTAATGCATTGTTCTCCACATACGAAGATTCTCCTGGTGACACATGCAGTAGAACATGTACTTTAAAAAGATTTGAGTTAGTTAAGGAAATGATATCAACTGCAAACGATAAAACTTAAAAAGTTTCTGTAGCTCAACATAATAGAAGTTTATTTCTCACCAATGTGAAGTCCACACTGGTGTGGCTGATTATCAGAGGGCTCCTTTCCAAGTACTCATGCAGATTCCCAGGTTCCCTTTTTTTTTTTTGTGGTTCCTTTACCCCCCAGGGTCTTGAATGAAGAGCATGGCAGTAGCATATGAGAGTTTTTAATGGTCATGGAAATGGCACACATCATTTCACTTATAATCCATTGGCCAGAACACAGTCATATGATCACAGCCATCTCTAACAACAAGGGAGATTGGGAAATGTAGTTTTCTAAGAGAAAAAGGAAGTAAGTTTAATAACTAGCTAGCATCTTCCACAGTTTTCTAGTCATGTGATAGGGTTAAATTGATCAATTTACACTCTTTTCTGACAAATGCACACATTTATAAGCATTGTTGATTAGCAATAGAGTGTAGTCTGATTAGACTGGAGTCTAGTAAATTCTTTTATTCTGTGCAGAGTTAGCTGGTCTTATGAGCTTTGCTTGTGGTCTCATTAGCACCAGTCTCTAACCAGTAATCCTTCCCTTCTCTGAATTACTCTATTATTTATTATCCCTATTTAGATGAAAATCAGAGTTTTCAGAGCTTTAAACTCCTTTTAGTTATTGTATGCACTTAACATAATTTTGTTTTTGACTATGCAGTTTAGCTGTTACATTTACCATTTTTATGGTTTTAAAGAGATATTCCTATTTTCCTTTTATTTTTTATTTTCCTGTTTTTTTTTTTTCCTTTTTAACCCCAACAAGGATGTCTTTGGAATGGAACATACAATAATAAGTGACAAATTTGGGTCACTAGTGTTCCATCTCTTATATTACTGTATTACTTTGAAAATATTGGTATTTTTTTTTTGTGGACCATTTTTAAAAAATAATTAATTTATTTATTTTTGGCTGTGTTGGGGGTCTTTGTTGTGCGTGGGCTTTCTCTAGTTGCAGAGAGCGGAGGCTACTCTTCATTGTGGTGTGTGGGCTTCTTATTGCGGTGGTTTCTCTTGTTGCGGAGCACAAGCTCTAGGCGCGTGGGCTTCAGTAGTTGTGACTAGCGGGCTCTAGAGCATAGGCTCAGTAGTTGTGGCACACGGGCTTAGTTACTCCACGCATGTGGGATCTTCCTGGACGAGGGCTTGAACCCGTGTCCCCTGCATTGGCAGGTGGATTCTTAACCACTTTGCCACCAGGGAAGCCCTGTGGACCAATTTTTTTCAAGTCCTTATTGAATTTGTTACAATATTGCTTCTGTTTCATGTATTGGTTTTTTGGCTGCAAGGCATGTGGGATCTTAGCTCCCCGACCAGAGATTGAACCCGCACCCCCTGCATTGGAAGGCGAAGTCCTAACCACTAGACCACCAGGGAAGTCCCAAATATTGGCATATTTAGAACTGAAAATAATAATACCTTATAATTTTGAATCCTCTATGTATTTGTATTCTTAGGGCCTTGGTGTTTTTTGATAAATGATGACCAACCACACTAATAGGCTGTAAACATGGTGATTTACAGGCATGTGTATTTCTAAGATATTTTTAACAGCATTCATCATAAGATACATTTGCTGGTTAACTTAATTGGTTAAAGGGTTCCATTAACAAAAGTCCTGCTATTATATTCCCAAATTAGTTAAATTATTTTCCATGGACACAGACTTTACCTCTAATAGATGTTAATTATTTCACAGCCAACTAGTGAAAAGTCATCTCATAGCAATGTGTATGTGTTTGTAAGGCATCCTGCAGTATCATCAATTTACAAGGTGCAATGTGTGTAAAGGGTTTCAGCCGAAAGTGTCAGTCCCTGTACTAATTTAAGTGAGTGAATTTAGGCTTCCTAAGCTTTAAAGATTAATAAGCTCTTAATCCAAGAATAGGAGGAGATAGTAAGAGAAGGGTAATTTGTTGTTAGGATATAAGGATTACTGGGAGTCAGCAGTTTAGGAGGGCACATAGGATCTAGTCTGAAAAAGAGCAACCAATGTGGATAGCCCAGAGAGTATGGGAAAGGTATTAATACATAGAGAGTCAGACATCATCCTTCACACTTACAATCATTTATCTTAGATTAATATCTATTAGGTGTTAACAGATGAGGAAAACTAAGCCCGTAATGCTTCCAAGTCTTTTTTTCATTTTGCACTACATGGAAATGATGCTATTTGTACAATGAGTAATTTGTTTAAAATAAAGCAGAAAAGTTGAAATTCAAATTTAATTTATTTTAACATTATTTTCTGGTTCTATATTTAGTGCGCCTTTCAGTTTTAAAAGGTATCTGCAATACCTGTTATTGCCACAAGATGGCATTGGAAGGCTGAAGATCTTGGTTGAAATTTGATTTTTGAGACGATTGATGAGTTAGATATATTTATATTTTGTATGTATTCAAACCAAAAGAAATTTGGACTATGATGTATTTTTTTAAAATTTGAGTGAGATTTTGGTATTTTAATATCAAAAATACGAAATTGATGTTATTGCTGACTAATTCTTTTGGAAATGGATGAAACATAAATCTTAGTGTAATAGTATAAAAAATTTTATTATAATACATCCCCCAGAAAGACTTCAAAAGAATTCAAGTTAGCAAACATTTAGAAGGTCTTACTGTTCTATAATTTATAAGGTCTTATTATGCAAATAGAAGATATAGACCTTGCCCCCAGTGAGCTTTCAATTTAGTTGGAGAAAAGAGAAATGTATATACAATTTGAAGAGAGAACAAAATAAAAAAATGATCAAGTACAGTGTTGTGTGATATAAACTATACAAACAGTGTGAACTGGGAATAATGAGAAGTTAAGCAAAAATTTTAAATGGTATTTTACAAAAGCATTCTTGTATCAGTTGAAAATACGATGTTGAAGTTTTCTTTTACTGCGATTATCTATATTATAATTTATTTAAACTATGAGGAAATGTTTAGCAATCTGGAGAGCTGTGTAAAATTCAATATTTGACATAAAACATAGAAAACACTTGAAATATTAACTTACCTTTTATTTCATGAATGTATGATTTTTTTTTCTAATTGAAAAATATTTTTCAGAAGAAGGCGAAGGTTTTCTGGTCAAACATGTTAGTTTTAATATTCTTAGATTCCTGGAGTCTGAAAAACATATCTATTAAAAAATCAAGGGTAGAATGGTGGTTACCAGGGGATGGGGGGAGGGAGAAAAGGGGATTTGCTGTTTAATGGATATAGACTTTGAATTTTGCAAGATGAACATTTTGTAGATCTGTTTCACAGCAATGTGAATATACTTAATACTACTGAACTGTGCACTTAAAAATGGTTAAAATGGTACATTTTATGTTAAGTGTCTTACTAAAGTTATGAGCAATTAATAGGTTTCTATTGAGGATCAGCAATGTTCCTAGCTTTATTTTAGTCATTAGGAGCTACTCAAAAGAAATAAAAGCCCCTTCAAGAAACTGTAATATAGTTGATGATAGAAGATTAATCTAATATTAGTAGGTAATCTATTGACGTCCAACATATACCAGGCATTGTGCCAGACGTTTTATATAAGTTATTTCAATCCTCAAAACAATATAGGGGAATGAATATTATTATACCTATTTCTCTATTTTATCATTAAGGAAACTAAGTTTTATAGCTATGAAGGTTCAGTACCTTGTTGAAGGTTGCCAAGTTTCCAATCTTGCAGTTGGTATTTAAACCCAAGTTTTTCTAACCTCAAAATCCATTTTCTTTGTATTATACTATGCCCCTAATTTAAATACAAAGCAATTAAAGAATATAAATAAACAACTAGTAATTTCACATTCTAGTTTGGTGTTTCTACTGCCAGTAAATATTGTCAGTTTTGTCTGTTGACAAAATTAAGATATGTGATTTAATTAACAATAGCAGTTGTTCAGGATTACATTTTAACTTCAGAAAGGATAACCATGTACTTTTTTTGTTAGCTTGAGTTGTTGTCACTATTTTTATTTGCTTTTAACTTTTGGAAACACTAATTTCTTTTCCCTGTATATTCGTGTGCAGGTTATGTGGGTATGTAATTTGTGCCGAAAACAACAAGAAATCCTCACTAAATCAGGAGCATGGTTTTATAATAGTGGATCTAATACACCACAGCAACCTGATCAAAAGGTTCTCCAAGGACTGCGGAATGAGGAGGCACCTCAGGAGAAGAAAGCAAAACTGCATGAGCAGGCCCCGTTCCAAGGACCCTCAGGTGACTTATCTGTACCTGCAGTGGAGAAAAGTCGATCTCATGGGCTCACAAGACAGGATTCTATTAAAAATGGGTCAGGAGTGAAGCACCAAATTGCCAGTGACGTAGCTTCAGACAGGTAAACATTTTGCTTAATCTTTAGGTAAACATTATTTTTAATCTTCATTCCAAACAGAAATAAAAATACATGAAATGTTTAGGCAACAAATGTGTTGTCTAAATATAATGTGAATGTCTATATGTTTTATAGAAATGCTGAAAGTGATGTTCAGGACTTGAGCTATTATAGGTTTGAACAGTCTTAGGTTTGATGTGGGAGTGTCAGGTTTTTCCAGAATAAAGAAGTGAAATGAAACAGGGAACCTAGATAGGTTATGGTCACAGGAAAGACAAACTGGCATAAGAGCAAGGGGAATGAAGAAATGTTTTTTTTAAGACACTTTGGAGAGGTTCAACTGATGGGACTAACTGGAAGAGGAATTAAGAGAATGGGGAAGATTAAGGATGTCTCCAAAGGTTCTACCTTGGGTTGACGGATGAAGTGGGCTTCCAAGCAGGTAAATATTGATGAAAGGGTTTCGTGAGTTTGATTTTTCCATGGGCTAACTCTGTTATTTACTCTTTTGGCTCAGTTCTATGGGCTTCTCCATGTTCAAAGGGTTAGACTTTTTAAAACAATGTTTATGGTTCTTAGAGTTCCTACTTTTGGAAGGGGGAGAATGAAAAGTTTTCTTGGGAAGATTATTTTTCTATACCACGTTCCTCTGTTTAAATTGAAAATTAAAAACAAAATCTGGTTTACACTATGTTTGTTATCTAGAATTGGCAGATGCATTTACATGTGAACAAGTAGAAAGTCATGCATTTTGTGGAAAAACAAATCTTAAGCTGTACTTATAGGATGGTGGGTCCTGAGCGTTATCGAACGCAAGTCTGTGTGCCTGACGCACAGTGAGGCCAAAAAAATACCAAAACATCAGAGTTTGGAGCAGAGAAAGGTATATTGCAGGGCCATGCAAGGAGACGGGTGGCTCAGGCCCCCCAAACCCCGAACTCCCTGTAAGCTTTCAGCAAAACCCTTTTATAGGAAATGTGAGGGAGGGGTGTAGTTAGTTGTCAAACTTCTTGGTGTCAGAACATTTGTTCTTGAGGTCAGGTCATGGTCAGGTAACGATGTTCCTATAAACCTCCACCAAAATGAATGTTCTTCCCTGTTCTGACAAGAAAGGGCAAAGTCCCAAGGCTCAAATTTCTCCCTCCAGGGTCCAGGCCCTGGCTAAGAGGAGGGGGTCCCTGTGCAGGCCGTTGCCCTTCCTGGGAGCGTTCATCCAGCACCCAGTCTGGGTCCTCCTGCCAGTGCCCAGGCCTGGCTGAAGAGGCAGATCTCAGCTGGTGGTGCCCTCAGGGCCAGGTTATCAGACCCTGCCCAGCCATCATCACTGAGGGAGCCAAGTGCCCAGGACCCAGCTGGCCCTCAGGCTTTTCACTTAAACTGGAGCGAATCACTTGTAGCAAATACCCGTCAGGTGAATTCCCAGCTCGCAACAATTGTCCTTCTTTGAGAAGAGCCCCAGCCACAGAGGTGGACCTGAACTAATGATGTGCAGTGTTCTTGCAACTTACCCCTGACCTCCGGCCACCTCTTAGGGGGGTAGACAACGGATCTAAGCTGTACCAATTTTCAAAACTTGAATTGTCAGACTGAAGCTCATTGAAACGGTTACCTTAGTGGCAGTGTCCATATAATCCAGGTGCTGAGGCCTCCATTGACTGGGACCCATGGAGACTGCCACCGCCATTAGGTCAAGGCCTGGGCCCAGCCAGTGGGCGGCCATGGCAAGGGCTCTGGAGCTTTGCAGGGCACAGCCCTCAGCCTGTCCTAGGCCCCCCAGCTCACCCACCAGCGTGGAGGCTGGAGGGCCTCGAGCCCTGGGGAGAAGGCCACGATCCACCGCTTACGGCACTTTCTGCCCGGGGGGATCACTGCGAGGCTGACTGCTGGCAGAGCGGGACCTCTAACCACTGTTCTAAGGGCCTCGTGACGGCCAGGTATTGTGGGTGGAATGCTAAGGGCTGCCCGCCCGCCCCGCCCCAATGACAATTTGAAGGCCAAGAACAAATCTCTCCTTTAAAGTTAGCATCAGATTTTGCTCAACACGAGTCCCTTAGTAACAAAAGTCGAGTTAGGTTTTGTGATGTAGATTCTCCTCCAACTTGAGGGCAGCTGACCCCCGCCCATTTACACTGCGACAGCCCTTACCTGCCTTTCTTCGGAGCCTGGACTCTGGCTGCTGGCCTGAGGTCCGGCGCTGGGCGGGGTGGTGCTGCCCTCCAGCCGCTGTTGGCCACTTGACCAGGCTTCCCTGGCCCAACACCCTGCCAGGTGCTGGGGATGGAAAAGCTCAAGCCCCAAACCCAAACGAGGGGAGTGTTGGCCAAGAACTGGAGGGCTGTGAGCCTTCAGGTCTGCAGGGTTGGGAGAGGGGCTCAGCTGAGCCCGAAGAACCTGAGCGAGGCCAGCTACCGACTGGACCGCGCCCCTGCGTCCGTGCCCCACCCCACACCAGCGTCCCAGCCTCTCCTGTGCGCGGCTTGGTGCAAGGCATACCCGCTCCTATTACGTGAGCACTCAGTTATAACAGGTAAGGTAACTGGGAGTCACTTTAGAGGGTGGCTAAAGCCATCACTCTGGTGTGTTGCTATGTCTTGGGAGAATAATAAAATGATGGCTGTGCCAGATCTTTTGAAAACTAGCAAAAGTGAAACAATGTAATCCTAGCTTTGGGCAAAACAGTTGGTGATTTCATGGCTGGTGTGCTATGAACTTGTCTCAGTGCAAAATCTCAGGAACCCAGGAATTTTAAGGTTAGAGGACCATCTTAGATTGAGGACCACCTGAAGCACACAAAGATTTGAGAGCGGAAGGCAATATGGCCTTCCATATATGCCTTATATGGAAGGCAATCCCAGGCACTACCTGTAGGGAAGTGGGAGATGATCCAGTTAAGAGAAAGAATACAATATTGGATGCATTCAAGAGCAAGTAACCTCTTTCAGCAGCTGTGTCTTAATCTTACCGGGACTTTTGGGAGACCTGGTATCACGACCTCAAAGTTATCCCATATAATGGGCAAGGAGGCTGGGGATATTTATCCATAACTTTCCTTTGCTATTGGTTTAGGGCTGTTCCTGGGGTTGTTAACTCTCTAGAACTTATTGCTCAAGCATGCTCCTGTGCCAGAGAAAGCACTCAGGCAGAATATTAAAAATATAGTAAGAAAACATTGCTATGTGGGGAACAGTGAAGGATACGGCAACGTGGGTTGAGACAGTAGCAGTGTCTGCTACGCAAGGACTTTAGAAATCAAGAAAACTTGCAAAATGGCAAGTGAAATGGTCAAGGTATATGAGCTTGGGTGAAAAAAAATAGATGATAACCAATGGAGATAGGATTTTAAATGAATGAATGACAATAAAATGGTTAATGGGAACAGACTCCTTCAAAAACTAGGTAGCTGCATGAGATGGTTTCCTTTGGACTTTAGAGAGGTAAGTTTGGGAAGAAAAAAGGAAATACTAAAACACTGGGTCACATAATCAATTAGTAAGTTTTGGAGTGCATATTGTCAGGAGGTTACGGATGTTAAAAACAAATACAACAAATTTTCTAGTAATTAATTCATCACTGTAGGAAAGCTAAAAGCATAACTCTAATGTTTGAAGAAGGTGGTACTGAGAACAAATATATTTCTTTCAATATTATCTCTTAATGGTTCTTTCAGTGACAAACTACTAGCCTGAATAAACAGTAGAATCTGACCCATTATGGGGAAGCAAGGTGTAGTAGTTCCTTTTTTTCTTTTGCCTGGTGCCTTTGACAGCTGTAACTAGTAAATGCACACTTTCATGACTCCTTGCTTTCTGAACCTAATACAAGTCAGACCAATAGCTTCTTTTGTTAATAAGAATTACTTTTAGTCAGGGAAGAAGAGTTTAATATCAGATTTGGTAGTTATGCCTAGAAAATGGAATTGGTTATAATTGTATAAAGTTTTATTTGGAAAGTACTTTCTCTTCAAGAGTAATTTAATTCCCCTTATCAGCAAGAAAGAGCCTATGGTTTATTATTTTTTAAATGCAGATTCTATATTAATTTATTAGGCCTGTATCTTTGAATCTTTTGAATTGTTTCCCCTAGAGCAAGGGATCAGCAAACTACATCCCTGGCACCAAATCTGTGCCGTCTGTCTTTTGTAAATAAAATTTTATTGGAACACAGTCACATCTATTAGTTTACTTATTATCTATGGCTGCTTTCAGCTACCATTTTAGTTATAAGAGTTGAGTAGCTGCAAGAGACCATGTTATATGGCCTTCGTAGCCTAAAATATTTACTTTATGACCCTTTACAAAAAAATTTGCCTTTTCTTGCCCAAGAGAGTAAGTAGTTAGTTCTCTTAGTGGTATTGAAATTTCTCCTTTCTTTGCTCATTTTCTTTTGTTACTATTTAAATTACTTTAGTTAAGCCTGTTTTCTAGTTAGCCTTACCTCCCGCTCCTCTCTCTCTCTTTCTCTCTCTCCCCATGTTTTTCTCCTTTCTTACCACAATGGGTCTTTCAGCAGTATTTGACTTGGACAGTAAAATGGAGCATCTCATAAAAAATATAACTCCAGTTTAAAGTATTATTAGTAATTTGTTCTTCAATACCATTCAGAAACCAGTGGCCTCAAAAAGAGAAACTTTGGTGTAATTAAATTTAAATCTAAGAACCTAGAAGTATGTTTGAGAGAAGAGTGTGTTACATTTCCTTCTTTTTAGGAGTTTTAGTTTAATCTTTAACTATATACTGCAGTGGTTTTGACCTGTTTTATGACTTTTTACTTCTCTCACAGATCTTAGCACAGTGCTTTACATATAGACCTTTAGTATTTACTGATTGAATGAATACCAAGTTGGCTCTAGACCTTAGCTTTGAGTTAATGAGTATTTACTTAATTCATTTATTCATAAAAATGACAAGTGTTTATTATCAACTTAGGTACAAAATATTGTTAGAGATTTTCAGATATGTTTTTTTTTTTAATTTCAAAATACGTATTGAAATAACCACTTTTTT